TCAACGAATTAATGAGAATTAAACAATACATCTGATCAAAATGCACTACCTTAATTCAAATGCTCCCTTGAAAAAGCTAGCCTTTTCTTTCGGTTAGTTTTGCTGATTCTTCTCGCTACACTAGATTTTTAACCAGCCCGATGAAGAATTCTGTGGATAGGTTTTGGACGAATTATTTTGTTAAAGTCTTCATTGAATGTTGTTACGACAGCCCTTCAAGAAATTTTTGGTTTCACTTTAACGATATTTACAACTTTTACCTCTTCTCTACGAGTCAGCTTATAAGGACGGGTGGGCAAACATCACGTTACTAGATGTTTTGACTTTTTTTTTTTTTTTTTTTTTGTTACAGTTCTTACTGTGTATTCCTTTGAGTGGTTTATTTTGATTATGATAAACGGATGAATATATTTCTTTCATCAGATGTAGTTTCCACATGCTTACTAGCCATTTCAAAATTTCGACGAACTAAGGAGAAATAGCCAAGCTTTCAGAGCTGCTTTAGGTAAATAAAACTATAACCTGTATATTAGCACCGTTATGGGTATATACAGAATGATACAATCCAACTTATTTTGCATTAAACTCAATACTCTGCTTTCACTTTTGTTTTTAATTTTAATGGGTTGAAACGCTCTATTTATTTTTGTAAATTTATTAATTTGAGTTTTGATTTAACATTTTGCAGTTATTTTTATAATATTCTAAAGCTTACTATTTTCTTAATGTTTTGCTAAAAATGATGAATTTCACCATTTCCCCCCCTTTTTTTTCAGAAAATGCATGATGCGCCTTCATTTAATGCCCACCACTATACGTGCTGATCAGACTGATTGAAATGCATGTTTTAAAATTTCACAGTCATGTTAAAAAATTAAGGCTTTTATGTGCTAGTGCTTCTGTGAAAATTCTTCTTTATTACTTCAACTTAATAGTACAGAACAATCAATACTGTGATAAATATGGACTATATTTAATTTCGGACATTAAGTATGAACTAAATTTAATTTTTAGAATTCAATTAATAGACTGTCTAGAAGTTACGGTACAAATCCCAAGTCAGTTTCAAATATGAATTATTTTTAAAAGTAATCATTTTCAAGCTCGTAGATTACTGTATGCGACTAAGAAAGACTGGCAGTATGAGTGGATACAGCCACAGAAAACAACCGCAACCGTCCCCCAATGTACAAAAACAGAACTTTCCTATGAAACTTTTCATATACCAAAAAGGCATAATGCGAATAAGCTAATCGAACTAGCATTAAGATAAGTAGCATTGATAAAACGAAAACATGGATAATGTAATAAATACGCAGCTTATATAAAAGTAGAAGTAACGTACGTACAGTGTCTTTTCACGTCTCATGCTCGGGGTGGGGGAATACGCAGGGAGAATCAAAGGTAGTAGTAGTCCTGAGGAAGAACAGTGTGTTAGGATAAATCGCTGGAGGCTTCGTTCATGGGAAGCGCAGGAGACCGGGTTGTGAAGTGGAAGAGAATTAACTGTTAACATCTCATCATTGTATAAAAACACCAGGGCTATCAAATTACTAATGTCTGCAATTTCTTCTTATCTGCTCAAATCGATGTCAAAATTTATGATCTGCGTGTGATTTGTTGTAGTGCTTAAAGCTTGATAAAATAGTGAATGTTCACTCATTTTTGTAAAAAACAATTCTTCAAAGGCAATCAAAATCTTTTGTAGAACTGTTGTGAACATATGTGTCTTTTCAAAATTCAAATCCTACTTTTCATCAATCAATACAAAATAAATAATTAAATAAATAAAAATAAAAATGGCGAATGTTATTTATTATGTTTTGTTAACAGCGAAAATCAGCTTGAGAGTTCTTTCGATTAGAGGAACCAAGTTCTAATGCAAATTTTTCATAAAAGCGAAATGATGTTGAAAGCAACTTTTAAACCTGTAGTTTTAGCCAAACTCGGTTACAGCAGTTGGATGGGGCTTTTTGTCCCATGTAACTGTCATATTTCTCAGCCGATACATTTTCAGCGTGTAACATAAATGCATACTAATTAAGTTTCCTTGGAAAATTTTCAATGGAGGCATTTCTTCCCTTAGACAAATAGCCTGGAGCCATTCACGGTAATTAATACACCAACCAGCCTATTAAGATGAGAGAATAAATTTGTACCGCAGAATTAGAAAATTCGTATGGCAGTACTTAGAATACTCATTTGGGTATGATAGCAATATACCCAAATAGTCGTTCGAAACGGTTATTTGCATATCCGAAATTTTGTATTTTATTGCTGAGTAACAGTTCAAATACTGGAACTTATTTTTCACTCTTTTCTTCCTTAAATTAGAATTTGCCGAAATATTGCTGTTCGAGAATTTGTTTTATGATTCGACCAGATTAGTTTCATTGCTGTTCACTTAAATTAGCAGATCAATAGCCTTAAACCTTTATTGTTTCGTTTTTCCCTTTTCTCACGGCGGGATACATTTTATCCTCAAGTTATTTTTTCTTTTATTTAAGTGGTGTTGATCTAAAATAATACTTGAAACTAAATTACGCCTAAAAGATGCAGTAATTTAGTGGCAATAATTAAAAATTAAGCCAAAATCTAAGCCAATTCAACTATCATGTACTCAGTTATGGCAAAGTAAAACCAAAATGAATTAGTAAACAAATGCGCAAAAAAATTCAAAAAAAGGACAAAGAATTTCTGCACAAATCTAACACAAGTGAAAAAATCCCTAAAAATAATCATGTAATAAATTAAAATTAAAAATTACAAACAAAATCAAAGAGAGTGATTTCAGAAACACCAGATTAACTAAAGCTGAGCAAGCACGAAACTCAAACAAACAAATAATCAGTTTACAATCTCAAAAAATGCAAAATAAAAACAAAAACAAAAAATTTTTTTTCAAGTTTTTGTATCTAAACAAATATGGATATTACATTTCCCGGAACCTATTTATCAGGAGATTAGTGTCGCGAGAAATATAAGAGAAAATTGGCTTGTTTCTGAATTAACAAATGCAGAATTAAAAAATTTAATATTTAGAATTGTTTTAATTAGAAAAAGCAAATTAAATTGTGCAGTAGGAGCTCAAATCCTGACAGGACAGAATCGAAAATAGTGCTTGGTTTAAATTTAAATACAGCAAATTATAAAACGAAATTAATGTAGGCATAGAAAAACAAATGTTTTATCGATTGGTGGGCACTTGCCTATTCAGCACTAACCACTCCTAAAGCCAGAAGTGGTCGTCATTTTACTGTGGAGACACTTAATAGCCGGCCACAGCTGTCTGCTATGAAAGGACGGACAGTTACAACCATGCCTTCTCCCAGATTTGAACCGGGGCCCTTTGGTACCGCAGTGGGCTCTCCTAACCACTGTACCATCTGGGGGATTAGAAGAAAGGGTTTAGTGCGAAGAAAAATTAAAAAATTATAAAAGTCTTGAAATGTGTCTCTGAACAAATTTCGTAAAATGGAATGATGCAAGCAATATCAAACACTAGAATGCAGTGAATAATAAAACTAGAAAACCAAAATTTCGAATTAAGGACATTAGTAAAAAATGACATTAATTGATAAGAAACTGCATATTCTTATTGAGGTCAAAATGTGCAAATTAATAAGTCAAAATCTTTGTGTTTTTAAATTTAATAATTTTTTTTAACGATTTATAATCCATCATTTGTAATTGGAAATTATTGCTCGCAGCTGCATAGTTGGACATCGAGTCATAGTAAATTGATACGCTGACAAACTTTGCAATCAACTATTTCCCTTTTTTCACTCGACTAGAATTAACTCCGATAATTTACCTAAATTTCTCTAAACGGCTGTAAGTTTTCCTAGCAAAATAAAATAAAAAGACCTATGTGGAAAAAGAGACAAACCTATGTGGACAGTGAGGACATCTTACATTTTAAAATAAGAAAAGCGTTAAGACTTTTTTTTTTCTTTGGATTCTGCATTTTGTATCCTTTTATGTTTCTGTAAAGAGTAAATTCTGTGAACATTACATCTCTTTCCTAGAATTCGCTTAAAAAGAAGATTTTTATACCAGGTGTACTTGTTGATTCAAAGCATCTTTTGCTAACAGGCCTAAGTTTATTTGATCTTAAGTCAAAAGAACGATCTCATAGTGGTAAATGACATCCCGAATATACCCGAAATCATAGCAAAAACGAAAGAGAAATCATTTTTTGAAATCTGATTGTATAGGAATGTAGTAGATTCTATGCTAAGAGTATTTTTACTGTAAATAAATGAGAATTAAAGTGTTATTGGAGAATGAAATAGAAGTTTGATCTGTGGAGAGAGAAGATTCGAGTTATATGTAGTAAGAAATAACAATTGCTACGAAAATTAATTTTTGGATAAAATTAATATAATTACTCGAATATAATAAAGCATATTATTAAAGTGTTATGGGAAAGATTATAGCGTTGCTATTAGTATATAAATAATCAAATTCTAAAAATTTTTTGATGCATTACATGTCGATGAGAAGTAATAGTTCAAGAATTCATAGCGAATAATTTTAGAGCAATAAGTTTCGGAAACCTTGTTACAAGTTTTTTGTAATTAATACTTGAAATTATGCAGTATATTATTAAATAGTGCTGCTTCAAAGTTTATACTGTTGCTATTAGAATGTTAACAGTCAAACATTTAAAAACTTTGAACTTTGAAATGCGTTATATGTTGACTAAAAGGAATATTTAAAAAAATTCACACACTCGATAACTTAAAAGCATCAAATTTAAAAATTCTTATTCCAAATTATTACGTCTTACAGTACTTTGTAATGGCACATTTTGTTTCTAAAATGTAATTATATTGTAATATTAAATACAGAGAAGATACGGTATAAGTGTAGTGATCTTGATTTATCGTAAAATTTAGATTATCACATTACTTATTTATAAGTTTTATTACTGTATTCCAAACTGTCAATTCTGAGTATTAAAATTATCGCTTATTAATCTACATTTTCTTTTTCAGGGCTAGAAACTTACACAAAAAATGTATCTACGCTAATGAGAGATAAAGAATCCAAGGCAACGCGGGACAACAGTAAAATGATGTCTCACAGGACAGAAGCTACACAACCAGCACCGGCACCAGAATTAGAAGCAAGTGACATTTCATCAGAGTTCAATGCTAATTCCCACTACATTTCCTTTCCTATCATGAGTACGCCATACTTAAGCACATCAGTTTCCACAAATGATCACGATTTACAAATCAACAATACCGGAGAATTTCTGATCGAAAAAGCTCCATCTAATAAAAATTCATTTCTCATGTCAAGTACTAAGATTGAAATATCCTCATCCTATTTGTTAGACGATTCATCTTATTTATTTAGAGATTCATCATATTTATTAGAAAATTCATTTTATTTATTAGAAGACTCAAATCTGATTGAAAGGCCTGCAGCTACTGAGGTGAACTCTTATTCAGTTATTCCATCTTCAAAAACAATACAAACGCATATATATAGTTCATTTGAAACTCAAACACATAGTCATCTAAAGGAACATCATAGCAGTGCACGAAATGAATTTTCAAGTGAAAAAGATCCAGTAACTGAAATCCATAGTTTCTTATCAGCAGATTCAGAGAATTCATTACTTTCATTTTCTGTGGATGAAATTCGAACATTCAGCAAAAAACCACTTAGTTTAGTTCAATATAAGACACCAGATATGACAATTTTATCTCAAGCATCAACATCAGAAAAACCAGTGACAGATTCCAACCAAGAAAGAAGTGAATACTTAAAGGACAACAAAAGCATAGAGGTTGTCCCTTCTTCAATTTCGAGCAGTTTAATGGTTGAATCACATCCCATTCCATTTACTAATAGCATATCAGAAGAACCTGAAGCCTCATACACTACTCCATTACAAAAAAATAATTCTCAAAATAAAAACACTATTGATAAATTATTTCATTCAGATAGTCTACAGGAAATTTTTCAAACATCTGTATCATCATCGAAATCTGAAAGTATTGCATCTAAGTTGTCTAACACAGCAGAGTTTCACGAAATCGTTGAAGATACAGATTTGCTAAAAAATAAGAGTTCTAGAAAGGAAGACCGTGAAATCGACGATATCATCAGTGGTATTATTCACCTTTTAGCAGGTAATGTGCAGCTTGTTCGACCTGCACCTAATATTATATCGACTCGCCCACAACAGATAGTTCCTGTACCTTCAACAAGAATAAACAACAGAGGTCCTATAAAATCTATTCCATTCAGTCGAACGGTAGTTGTCTTTTCACAGCCTCATAATCACGTTAATGTAGCAACACAGCCATTACCAAGTAATATTTTACCTTCATTGGCAGGAGGATCCCATCATATTCGACCATCTACTAAAGCAGGTGGAATAACTCCAACTGCTGTATCTGTTATTCATTTCTACAAACCAGTGACAAAATTAACTCCGAGTAAACAGGGGCATGTACCATTTATTGGAGAAATATTTACGTCAGAAAACAAACACGTTCATTCAAAATTACCTGCAGTAAACGAGAATGAGAAAGTAGTTTTGCCCATTCTCACGGAAGTTTCTAAACTGCAGAATGAGAAAATCGGTGGTGAAAACACGTATTCCCATTTCATTTTTTCCGATGCTGCTGATTCTTCAGTAGTATTTGTTGTTTCTTCTCCTTCTTCTAAATTTCAGCCGAATGCATATATGCCAACAACAGATACAAATTCAAATTCAGCTGCAAAAATTTCACCCACTAAAACATTTGAAGTACTTACTGATGCAACAAGTCAAAAGACACCCGTGCCTTTTAAAACTTTAACCGATTTCCTTTCGAAACCTTCCGAAATTTCTGATACAGATGAAATGCTCCCACAAGGAAGCATACAAACTTTAAGCGCCCAAAATTTATCTTTCGAAACAGATCATGTACCTGTTGGGCCAATAACGGATTGGGTACCTATATTTGAGAGGCCATCAATGAAATTCAAGCCAGTGTCCATAAGTGCTAGTCAGTCCCCAGGTTCAACTATTTCTAATAATGATGTATCTATCATAGTGGAGCCAGTAATGTTTGATCTCACTGTAGGCAACTCATTAAACGAGATACAAAACTCTGAAATTCCAACAACACAGAGTAAATCAACATCCATTCAGTCAGAGTCATCAAGCTCGGAGCTTCCAAGGTTATCTACCTCCACTAATGATGGGAAAGAACTCATAGTATCCCAAACAATTACGCAAAATAAACTTGCCTTACAGGAGTCTTCGAAGGATGTGTCATTTACAGAAGGAAATAACATTAGTCACGCTCCATCTACTTCCGAATTCAATATCAAAAGCCAAATTTCATCTCAGATGTTTACACACGAATTAAGCAATTCCTATATAAGGGAAAGAACTCAAAGTTTAAAGATAGATGATGATATATCACATGTGTCATCAACTTACTATGCAATAATAAACACTGCGACAAGTAAAAATGATTCTTTCCTACCCTTGTACGAAGCAACTTCAACATTAAGTTCTTTCTTCCCAACACGGTCTAGCATATCTGCACCATTACAACCAAGCGTGCAACTACCTTTAGGACGGCCATTTGTGGTACCTGTAGACATGGAAGGAGTTCACCCGTTTGTAGGTGCTATCAATCCTGTCGGTCAAGATTGGCCATGGATATCACCTACATATTATCCAGGAGCATTTCCTTCTTCTGGAATTCAAGGTCAGCGTCCTAGGATTGACATTAATGACAATTCCAGAGAAAGACCAATTCAAGCTACAGCTTCCATAAAACCAAGTCTAACACCTATCATTCGAGGGCAACCACGACCGAGACCAAACACGATCAGGTATGTAGTGTCTATTTGTGTGTTTGTCGCCCAGATAGGAGCTTTGTTTTTTTTTTTAATTGGGGAAGACACGTTAGAAAGAGAATCTAATATATCACAATAATAATATAATATCTCTGTAATAATCTATAGAGTCATTAAGTTTTCGAAGCAAGAAACAGGAAAAAAATGGGAAATGCGCTCTCTGGGATTCGAACTGCTTCCTAGCCGGACGTGTTTCCAGTTACACCCCAAAGGGTTCCAATTACACAACAAGGTAAAAAGGGAAGAAGTACCTTACATTCTCTTACATTTAAAAGGCTAGTGGAGAGGTGAGGACCTAAACCCCAAATACTGGTGAAGACGAATTATCCTCCATCCATTTTAGTTCGGACGCCACTCTAGAGTCACTAGATTTGTCGAAGCAGGAAACATGAAAAACGTGCAATGTTCTCGCCGGATTCGAACTCCAAACCGCCTGATTGCTGGACAGACGTGCTTTCAAGTACACCACGAAGGCACGCGGTAAGGAGGGAAAAATTAACCTTACCAACAGTATGTGTTCTGCTCTATTCATTGGTTTCGTGTTCAAACAATTATTAATTTTGCCTTTAACTTTTAATGAAATATCATTGGGGTTTAGTGTACCGTCAAATTCTGGCAAAACGTTATACAGTAAAAACGTTTTCTGTTAACACTGTGAATTATTTTACAGGTAGCGAGAACGCGAGACAGTCTTGAAATATTTCTAATATTTATATCTCTATGAATGTTAAATTTTATAGGAATACAATGTAATATGAAACAAAAGCTTGCAATAGATGAGAGGTTGAAATGGGAAAATGTAAGAGTAACTCATGCCATCTTTTCATACTATGTACATTCCCCCAGTTTTCGAAAGTACTCACATTGATTTTTATTTCGCATCAGAAGAAAATTGATGTTATAATTCATTGAGATTCAACGAAGATTTCTTTCCTCATCCCAACACCATTTTCTTCTGTATTAAGAATACTCGCAATGCCCATCTATACTGTTTCTTTTCACAGTCTATATACAGGATGTCCAAAAAAGGAGTCCCTGAGTTCAAAATTCCTAATCTCGAAAACAAAGATCAATAGAGGAATACAACAAGTGGTATATTCATTGTGAAAGTTGTAAGACTGTTACAGAGAAATTTCGAAATAATAGTTTTAAAAGCTGCCAACAGATGAAGCTATACGCTGGCGTCTGGTAACTTTGGATTTTGAATGGAAACATGTCTAGCCTGTTTCTCAGTATTTTCTGCGTGCTGAAACGCTTTAAGCCAGTCTCTGCTGGAAATCTTTGGACTGATTTCCTTGGATTTTGCTGAATAATTCCAGAAACAGTGGCGACATTTTTAGGAGTAACTACAGTTTGACAGCGACCAAAACACCCTACCAGATCAGCCGCTACGCTGCATGTCCGTTCGACATTTACCGAAGAGCTTGTGAATGATTTTCACATCGGGTCCTTTGGGAACATTCAGTCGTGTTTGAAAACTACGCCTTGTTGCCAGAAGGACAGTGATCTAACCCCTGGTATTCCAGTACCATAAAGGCATATTGTTCAATGGAATACATAATTATCAACCTCTTTCTTCCGTACCCTATCTCCTTTCACACTCTGATAGTAGCTTTAGGCTGATACCAGCGTGAATTTTTATCACACTATTACTAGCACCTCAAGTGAGCCCAGCTAGGTTTGGTTTAGTTTATTGCCGCAAAACACACGAAGACTATCTGCTTAAGGGAAGAGATGCCTTCGTAGAGCACTTTCTAAGGGAACTTGGTTCGTATACATGTTACGCATGGGGAAAACTACGAAAATGCCCATGCAGCCAGCCCATTCGCCAGGATTCGAACCCCGGACCGAACTACCAGTGTTCAGTGACTGCTCGGCCGCTGGTGAGCCTGACTCCGGTCAGGAGAAACCTCACGTGGAAAACCCAGGTTCCGCTAGTCGCCGGGATTAGCATGCTAAATTAATGTTGTTTTCCAAATGTGTTTGCTTCAGTAGGTTCTTGAAGTAGAGTGATTACATGGACAACGAGTCTAGGAGGACAGATAGGATGAATGTAGGGTGAGTAATTGATACATAAAAGAGCTTTACAGTCCTAATCGCTATGAAGATTAAACTTGGATAACAGTACTGATGAGAGCATATCAAAGCAAGCGATTCGGATTGAATTTGTAGAGACATTAGGATTTTTTTTGGAAGCCAGAGAGATGAAAAATATGCAACCGCCTTCGCCGGGAATCGAACCACGGACCTCTGAAATACCGGTTCAGTGTGCAGAACCACTACACCACGAAGGCTCGCTAGGAAAGTGGGAGAAATACCTTATATACTCCCCTTTTTAGAGGGCGACTAGGGTTTTAGGGAACCTAGTCGCCAAATCCTGGGTGCGGAGAATCATCCCCAACCCTTTTAGTTCGGGCGCCACTGTAGAGACATTAGGATTTTTTTTTGGAAGCCAGAGAGATGAAAAATATGCAACCGCCTTCGCCGGGAATCGAACCACGGACCTCTGAAATACCGGCTCAGTGTGCAGAACCACTACACCACGAAGGCTCGCTAGGAAAGTGGGAGAAATACCTTATAAATTCATCCAAAAGTGCAGTAAACAAAATACATTGCAATAGAATAAATAATAAATGAGGCCTATAAGAATAATTATTTTCAGAAGGCAGTCCATGAATCATAAGTGCTAGAGTTCAGTTACAGGAGCTACGTAGCACATCGAATGAAGCTCGGGGTCATATGGCGCGGAATTCTGATTTCGAATAATTAGTTAAAATTTAGTTTCGCCTTTAAAATATCTTCAATACTTTATTAAGAATTTTTTTTTTTTTTTTTTTTTTTTTTTTTTTTTAAATTCTGAGATATAACGCTCTGAAAAAATTCCTAAAAAATTTTAATTTTGCTTCAATTTAGGTTAAGCAGCAAGTCTAGCTGAGTAATAAATAAGAATTTTTTTTCACGAAATTCCATGGAACAGTAATGCAACTATTCAAAGTAAGTTTCAAATATATAGCGAAATCGCTAATCTATCAAAAACTGCAGATTTGAAAATTAGAGGTGATGGCGCTCTGTTTATTACTGGTATCAGAATAGTAATAATGGTAATAGTACACATTTTTACTTCGTATCATCTTTCTAGCCAACAAGTGCTTATTTGATTTGTAGGAATCTTGGTGAGAAATTAAAACATTCACTCGTTCACTCTTATGGCGCCACAATTAATTTTTCACTTCAGCACACCCCGATGGTATGGTGTTCCTCTTCGCTCGAGCTAGGTAAATTTTTCAACATTGTCCTCTCCTTAATTTCTGAATTCTTTATAACTTAACTAGATACAAACCAGCTGCATTGCCTGAAGTAGACAATGCACGTATCATACCAACAACAGGGAAGAGTTTTGCACAGTATACCATTGCTAGATATTATTTGTATAGCTCCATATTATTGCACATTACATCAGTTAGTAGTAGGATGTGGTAAATTAGGATTATCGCAGCTCAGTGATGAGAGCGAGACACTATATATAGACTTTTTCATTTCAAACTCATAGATAAGAGTAAAAAGGCCCATAATTTGAAAATACACCAATAAATCCTCTTATATTACACATCATAGTATTAAAGTTATTTCATTTGTAACTAAATGTATTTGTATGTTCAAAAATTTCTTTAAAGGCTAATTAAAATATTTTTCGAGCTTTGAGATTAATTCACATTATCAGAAGTGATAAAAGGTTTTTTTAATAATTTCCATGCATTTTTACGATCAATAATATTGAAGTCATACAATTAATAAAACTTGTAAAATTAAAATATAATAAGAATAATGTCATCTACAGCTATAAGTTAACATTACTCAAAACACACTGAAGCATAGAATGGTACATTGCATAAAAGCGTTAGGTGTTAATGCTGCATACTATAGCTTGCAATGTCTTGAATAATGACTTGATATACGCATCATAGTTCCATTGATATACGCTTCATAGTTCCATTGATATACGCTTCATAGTTCCATTGATATACGCTTCATAGTTCCATTGATATACGCATCATAGTTCCCATCACAGCAATAGAGACTTAAATCCTACAGACATTCCTGATTTTCTAATATAACATGAAAATATTACATTGCATTCCCAACACTGTTTATTACATTACGACATTTTATATTAAAAACATTAGCAATTTGCATGTACAATATGGTATTCATACACTGCAGGAGAAGAGTGCTCGCATTACTGTAATTGGCAGGTATTGTACGTTGCCTAAACACACTACATATATCCATTGCACATTGCAATATGATTTTTCACCCTGCATTACATATAAATTATATTGCTAAATATATTACATCGTACTAAGTCTAGGGAATAGTGGGAGGTTTTTATACTTAGTTCACAATAGTATGATAGGAGACATTGCACGTAAATTCGTAACGTAACATCAATGCATTAAATAAAGAAACATTACACCTTTCACACATTACATTAGTACATTGTTAGACATAGAATAAAGTGCTCTGAAATAGGTTATGTACATGCATTTTAATAATGCATTTACACATAAAATAAAGATACTCTCAAATACATTACGTACACACATTGAAACAATAAATTATCCTATATCAGCTCAGTTACAGCTTGATACAATGATACATAAAGCCAATATAAATAATTTTATTTGAATACTTAGTTTTAAATAATTCAGAAAACAGATTTAATTTTATGCATAACTATCTCTTTCGTTCCGATACTCTCTTTTCGCAGGCAAAGGTATTATTAGACCATTAAAACATGTTAGTGTTTCCTATTTCTTATTTTTAATCAGTTCAATGAACGTAATAGCGCTTATTAAAAAGCTCTCTAACCTTTATTTGGACTGTATTATATATTAATAATCAATAATAACAAAATAGTAGCAAATCCAAATCAGATAGTTGCAAATCAGTATTCAGTTTTAATAGGCTTTGAGTAA